TTATACCTTCTTCTTTCCTTAATGATTTACATAAAATCAATGATCCCCCGGGGCGGGGCCAATTTTAACCAAAGGGCTTTTATTTGAACGAAGAATATGCTTCATGCTAAATATCTAAGCTCTATCTATAAGGATTTTTAAAAGAAGACTTTTTAACTTTTTCTTACAAATTTGTGATATTTTCTGACTCGCTTTCTGTTTTAATATCCATTAAAAATAAAAAAAATCTGACAATATCATGATAAAGAAACGTCTTTTACGATTTCATGATATACTTAAAACAAAATCTGTTAAATTATATGGGATTCCAAGTCATGTAGGTATACGAGGAAATGAAAAAGTAGATGCTTTAGCTAAACACTCATTAAATTTTCAAAAAAACTGACTTATTGTTACCTGCTTGTGATTTTAGAACGACTATAAATAAACTCGTTTCATCTGAATGGAAAGCAAATAGGGACAATGCCGTCTTTAATAAACTTCATGATATAAACCCATCTCTTGATGTGTCACCATCTCTGTCTTTCTCAAACCTCCATGATCAAACAGTTCTTCTTCGATGCCGAACTAAAGTTACCCACTCTTATCTCCTCACGAATGACAATGCCCCTTTCTGTTTAGCTTGCAATGAAAATTTTACTGTCAAGCATTTTCTTCTGGAATGTCCTGATTTTTCACAGGCCCGTAATAGATTTTATAATGTAAATTCACTCAAAGACCTCTTTAATACAATTCCATCAAAAAACATCATCGATTATTTGAAAGAGATAAAGTTGTATATTAGGATCTAATTGGCTCTTTTTTGTTGTCATTTGCAGAGTTTTACATAATATTTTAAGCCTATTATAGCATTCGGCACGTACGGCCATTTATGTGTTAACGTGCCGTAAAATCCAAACAAACAAACAAACTTACGGTTGCCATGGCAATCAGAGTTCTGCATGGAATTAAATTCTTTGAACAATCTTTAAAAGTGACCACCAAAGAAACATTCCTGTGAAGTTTGGATGAAATAAGCTTAACAGTTTATGAGATGTCGTTTAAAGTAAAAGTTTACGGACAGATCACAACAGCTCACCTAGTCACTTGGCTGCGATTTACGAAAAACTTTTACCATTGACCAATAATGTCTAAAATTTATCTAAGTCGGTAAATAGGAAATTAATGAGCGACAGATCTGAAATCAAATCTCAAGGTATGGGATCACATGTTTATGATGTATGCCAAATATAAAGATACTGTGATAATTTGTTGCTGAGAAAACTGTTACGAACATTTCCTACCACTGACCATTAATGTTGAAAATTTAACTAAGTCTATGATCAGGAAAGGATGTGCGATAGACCTGAAATCGAATCCCCGGTATTGGACCCCGTGTTAATGATCTGTGTCAAATATAAAGAGGCTGTGATAAGTATTTGCTGAGAAAACTGTTACGAATCTTTTTCCTCGCCCGCGCCCGACATTCACCATATAACCCGAGTTTGAACCTGTGCAACCCGGCCAAACATGTACATAATGATATTTTAATTATGAAAAACGAAGGCTAGGCAACACCTCAACAAAAACAACCAACGCAGGGTCTCAGACAATGAACACTTGTATTAAATTCAAACTGCCTTATTCTAAATTGTAGACGTTTTTGTGCTGTAACTGGCTATACATTTGTATTTATTGAATTAATTAACTTCATATTATAACAGAACATTCTATAGGGTAGCTCAAACTCAAATTGACCTCGACTCTTTTATGACCTTGTTTTTGAAGTATTGGATTTTCACAGATTTTTGCTTATATTGACTGCAACTTGGTAATTAATAAATTGATTATCTTCATACTTTGACAAATCAACATTTTTGACAAAACCTTATACGTTTGAACTGACTTTGACCATGACCTTTACTGTCAAGGTCAAATTATTGAATTTTGGTTAAATTGTCACAACTTTGTTATTTATGAGATAAGATTAGATTTAAACGTAGACAAAACAAGACTTGCCACCAAACTAAAAAGCACATTGAATAATTTAAATGTGAACTAGCCCTTAAATTGACATTTACTGTCAAGGTCAAATTAATTAAATTCTTTTTTTGTCCTGTAAATGGCTCAAATTTCCGAAAAATAGCAAAGAAACGACTAAAATAATTGTTAAATACGATGATTCATTTCAGACGGTTACAGTACATTCACGTCAATAAAAAAATTATTATACTGATCTGGGGTTAGTATCTCGAAGCTATCGTTATATTTGCGTTTACGAACGTGCTGACGATTGACGGAAGGTTGATGAACGAGAGACTAGCGCGGGTATCTCGAAAGCGATATTTAAGCAATCGTTCGTTCCTTACTCGTTAGTTATTAACGATTGAATTACATTGTATGTAATCTTTTGAATTCCGCGAACAGTGTGTTAAAGCAGGAAGAAATGGTCGTAACAAAACGTAAACCAAGAAGAAATGCAAATGCTGAAAGTTCCTATGAAACTGACGTGATTACTATTGAAAGGTAAAAATTTAAAATAGAAACTGCAAGACTAGTAACTGAGGGAAAACGACTGTATATAGAACAGCAGAGACTGAGGATTGTGCAGCAAAGGTTGCAAGTGGAAATCAGATATTTTAAACACTTAACTAAGTCCAAGCAAATATTCTGACCGAGCTTCTTCTCAATACCCTCCCTCATTTTTTCAGGCTACAGCAACGTGTTGTTTCAGGGTGTAAGTATACTGGCAAGATTCAAACTTGAAAATGTCACAGACACTTGGGGTGTGGAGCTTAAACGCCTTTAAAATCCAAATAAACTGTATATTTGTCAATCCCAGAACATGTACTGATCATTTATATAAAAAACTTAATATAAGCCGTTTTGAAAAAATTTCAAATTTCAACGTCTATAATAATACACATGATAAAAATGTTCGCCGGAAAAAATCCGCACACTTACCGTCAACATCACCATGTATTTTATTCCATTTCCAATATTTTCACATAACCCTTTGGTCCATCGACACAGAAGATATAATTCTTCACGATGATGGTCAATTTTAAACTTCAACGGTAATATAAACAACGCAACAGCCGAAATAAACATAAAGATTATCGCCGTTCTACTCCATTTACAAAATCTTTCCATTAATTCAAACGTGGCCCCAGCTTTGCCGTGTGCAAAATGCGCTGCTTTAAAGATGGGAACCAGTCGGCTATGTGCGGAGCCATACAGCAATATGTTGTTTCCATACTTCAAAGCGGGGAAAAGACAAGAATGTTAAATCAAAGTGCACTTAAAATAGAGAGAAATAAAGAATGTTACATTTTCCACAATCATCCACCCATCCCTACCATGTTAAGAACAATGACAAAAGCAAAGTTTTAATTGTAGCGTGAAGGAAGATGTACCCAAACCTTAAACACACTCTACATTAGGCCTTCGTTTAAAAGATGATTTAGATAAACTTAAAATTAATCCAGACAGTATCCTTCAAAATGACGATGAGGATGTTCCACCTTGGACATATAATTCCCCGAAAATAAATATTAACCTTTTAAATATAAAAAAGTCATCAAATTCACCTGAACATTTCAAAGAGAAGTTTCTAGCAATTAAGGAAGATCATGAAGATTTTATACATATTCATACGGACAGTTCAAAAGAAGGTTGCAAAGTAGGTGCGGCTGTGTTTGAAAATAATTATACATCAAGTATGAGGTTAGCAGATAATGCATCAATTTTTACTGCTGAAGCAAAAGCTATATATTAAGCATTGTCATACATAGAACAGCATACCCATGATAAATTTGTGATATTTTCTGACTCGCTTTCTGTTTAAATATCCATTTAAAATATAAAATATGACAATATCATGATAAGGAATATTCTTTAAAGATTTCATGATAAGCAAAATCTGTTAAATTATATTGGATTCCGAGTCATTTAGGTATACGAGGAAATACAAAAATGTTTTAGCTAAACAAGCATTAAATCTTCAAAAAACTGACTTATTGTTATCTACTTGTGATTTTAGACCGGCTATAAATAAACTCGTATCATCTGAATGGAAAGCAAATTGGGACAATGCCGTTTTTAATAAACTTTACGATATAAACCCATCTCTTGATGTGTCACTATCTCTATCTCTGTCAAACCGCCAGGATCAAACAGTTCTTCTTCGATGCCAAATAGGACACACTAAAATTACCAACTCTTATCTCCTCACGAATGACAATGCCCCTTTCTGTGTAGCTTGAAATGAAAATTTTACTGTCAAGCATGTTTAACATAACATTTTAAGCCTATTATGTGTTGACGTTCCGTAAAATCCAAACAAACAAAGAAAACAAGGGCCCGACGAAGCAAGACAGAAGACGAACATTAAGGCAATTCAGTCCCCGCTGTCCACCATAGAGTCTCTCACTTGGTCTGTCAGATGAAATCAAAAGAGGAAAGCGTAGCGTCAAACTGTCAATTGGTAAAACACTAAGCATGTGGTATGTCTTAAAATAGTAGGATCATAACCCCTAATAATAAACTGTTTACTTATTTTAGTAAAGACAACAGAAAAATTACAATGACCCAAGATCTTACGAAGTTTGTGAACAACATCCCCGTAAAAATCAGGCTGGCTAATCCCTTGTCGCAGAAATATTTTTAGATCACTATTGAATCAAAGTTACGGTTGTAAAATTTCGTAAAATATTTACGTTATTTATAATAGCGGTAGCCCTGCTTGAGTAGCTTACCGGTGTCGCGTAATTATCACGCGCGTGGTAATATTACCACGCGTGTGATTATTACGCGGCGGCGTAATAATCACACGGTTAGGGGTAGTGCCGTTAATATTTCAATATTAATTAATCAGTGCCAAAGTCGTTGACTGTGACAATTAAGAAAACTTCAAATGGTTGTTGAAATGTGAAACTACACACCAAATATTAACGAAATGTAGATGAATGCAATAACTGCACTAGAAAGTTGAGCTTAAAATGTCTAAAACAGACGCTTAATTGCTGCTAATTTTTATTTTTACACAAAATAATTTAAGATCATTAAAGTCATTTTAACCACAGAATGTAATTTCATATGAAGTTGATCCTGGAGATTTGTTATTGCAGGTGAAGGTGCTGGTCTGGTCGTCATATGCATAACTATAGGATTCCGGGCATGCCGATTTGAATATTTTAGAATAGCTAGAAGGTGGACATGTCTGGGGCACGTTATGGGCTCCTCTGCAGCAATAATCATCACGGTTGAATGCCAGACAAGCACTTTTGCAAGCTACGACTCCCCCTGTACCATTAACTTGCAGTTCACGCGGACATCTTTGGTTCAAATCGGTGTTGCAACCTGCGCGAGAACAATAGTAGTGTCCACTTCCAGATATGTAGCCGCCAGTTGGCCTCATTGACATTTGTAGATTGAATCCATCAACGAGACTGACATCATAAAAGTCTTGTATATTCTGCGAGCCCGCGTCAAACGTTATTTCAGCAAGCGTGGCAGGGGGTACACCGCCTGCTCCGTTGCACTGGATTTTACCACCGCCGCAATCTCCGGTCTCGCATCTATTAGAATGGCACCCTGTTTTTCCCCAGAATCGTCCAGACCAGTGAGGAGGTAATGAAGATGTTCTTGAAGCACCAGCATTGAGCGTATATCCACCTATGTTTGCAACAAAATAAAGAATATTTTTCAAGATCCAAAATAAATGTTCTTCTTCCCAGTCTAACTGAATGAAATGTAAAAATTTACGCTTTTTTGGTGAAAATGTCGGCCCATATCAAGTTTGGTGTGATTATTCATTATTGATGCAAAAACAATGTGGCCATACCAAGTGACTTTTCGGGTACGGAGCACGCCGATTTTTCACCCGATTCAGGTAGGTTTTTTATTTATAACTTATTTATTACTCAACCGATTTTGATCAGATAAGGCGCAGGGTACCCGTAATTATATCAGCTTTCCACGGTATATCAAAATTCTGAAAACCCCTGAATGGTTTTTGAGAACATTCGAGCACAGTTTTCTTCTCATAGCCTGGGCCGAGGGGAACGGTACACACTCATTTGTCATAAGAAGCGATTTCTAGCAAGTCATATGTTTTTTGTAACTATTTCATAGAAAAATACATGTTAAATCTGATATATTTTTATGTCCAATGTATCGAGTGAATGCAGTGATGTTTTAGCATATTTTCATAAAGTTATATTGCAATGGTACAGAGCACACTGTTATTTCAAAAGATACGGTTCACACACAATTTTGTCTTTGAAATAATTGTAAAATAAAATATATGAAAATTTAATCTAAATTATAATGTGAGTGATTTTTTTCATAGTTATACATTTTTTAATTTAAACGAGAACCCTGTGACCTGTTTAGCAATGTAGCATTATGCTTACAGTTTGATGTAAACAGGATTATTAAAAAAAATAAAAGAACACTTTGAGAGTACGACGCGCAAAATTCGATTTTAAATGTTGCGCAATTAATATTTGGCTATAAGATGTTAATATTTTAGGGAGGGATACGGAAGACATTCAAAATTAATGTTCTGCTTTGTTTCTCATTTGAAATAATTATCTAGTATACTTTTTCGGATTATAAAACGAATTGTGAAATACATGGACATCTGTTATGTGCGATTATTCTTTCATTCAATTTATTTGTTCGAATATATAAATGACTGTCTAAACTTAGTATGAATATAAAAATCAACAAGAAGTTAGGAGTAAGTTGGAAATACATGTTCCTTGCACAATGTTGTTTAAATAATCGAATTTGGAGGAAAAACGCTGGTTTTGATGCAAGTGGATTTTTTAAATCACAGAAAGTTTAAAGTATTTTTTCTGCCACATGATATTTGGTATGCATCATCTGCCAAGGTCCCAAACTAACTGCATGTATTTAAATTATCAAATTATCTACATATGGACACAGATATTCCGCAGTTATACGTGCAATCAAAATTAAAAGCCGGATAATTTGAAGAATCCATACGGGAACAAGGCCTGTTATATAACGTAATGTAGATTATACAAGGTAACCTTGTTACATATACATGTAAGAAATTTTGGTAAAATTATGCCTATCCTGGACTTTCTTAGTTTCTTTTTTCATTGTAGTTATCAATATCTCACGAAACTTATTGTCAATGACCAAATTTCATTAAAAAAATATGAGTTGATGGATATGTGTGCTTGCGTATTTGTGTTAAAAATAAAATGATATTTATTTTCAATTTTGCCGTGTTGGGCTTTCTTTGGGGATTCTTATTTTCTCTATTTTGTAATAATACCAATTTGTCAATCAATGGCTATGGATTTTGGAGGCTGCGTTCTGTTTTATATACTACATGAAGAAGGTACGAGACCACAAGTGACTTCGATGTTTCGATTTTTCATGTGAGAAAGTTTTCTAACTACCGTACAGAACGTCGGTCGTTCTACTCAGGTTCGTTCGTACCTTTATTTAAACCCAAAGGGGCACTTGTAAAACTGGAAAGTCGCCACATGATCATGTCAGTTTTGGTGAGACGTGAAACTAAACCAAAAATGACATATATTACCTGAATTAAAAGTTATTTTTAAAGCTTCATGTCTTTAAACATAAAAATTTAAGCCATGGCAACTACATTTTTATTTGTTTGGGTCGTCAGACCAAACAAATAATGGTAGCGAATTTTTTTACTCTGATATCCTATATGCAAAATCAGAAAGTAGTCCGAACTCCTCGAAGCGGTTACTTCCCTTTATAAATACTCTAACGCCGAAAAATTAAGGGGAGATTACGCATTCTCGGGGGAAGAAAAAGTAGTTCCAAATTGGTCGAAGATTTCAAATATTGTGTAATTCTTTACAGATATACATGTAATATTAAGCTCCATGATAATTTACATCAGTGTTAAACGAAATTAATAAGGGTTACAAACCCTACTTTAGAATATGGTTTTCATCAGACTGTTATCTTATGACTTCCCCGTGGTCGAGGGGTTACACGCTGGTTTAGAAAGAGAGATGCTCTGAGTTCAAATCCCAGTTAAGGCAACTCATGTTTTTGTTGTATTATTATTATCATTATCATTATTATTATTGATTAAGCCAAATAAACATTGAATTGAATATCAGTGTTGCAATTAGCCTTATAGCCAATTAACTACACTTAAAACAATGGAAACAGCATTGGTGGCACATTACAAATAATCTCGCAACCTTCATCTTTTTGACATTCTGAGACGCAAACAAATTCAGCGCCTTCTGTGCTTTGATTTAATTAAACATAACCAAGATATTGCAAAATTATACCTAGTACTTATTATTAACAAAATATAAACATATATAATGTTATCAAGTAATGATACTTTTCAGCGATTTAGGTCATGACCTTGTTTTATTTTTTCAAGATGAAGCAAAAAGACCTATCTTACACTTCACAAGGCTTAAACTAAAAGAAATAAAAAAACGACAACAACAACAATAAACACAGCAATTGTAACAACATTTTTCCTACAGAACAATCATTTTAAACGCAATTACATGATTCTGTGAAGTGGTGAAGATCGAAGTGTTTAACATACCCTAGGTGATTTTAAACAGGACAATTACATGGAAGTTGTAAATGTTAAGCGTGATCTCTTGAAATATAATGCAAACATACATATTAACATTTAAAGTAAGCATAATGATACATTGCAAAACAGGTCCCAGGGTTCTTGTTTACATAAATAAAATGTATAACTATGAAAAAAAATGACTCACATTATATCTTAAATTAAATTTTCATATATTTTATTTTAGAATTATTTCAAAGACAGAAATTGTGTGTGTACCGTATCTTTTGAAATAACAGTGTGTTCCGTACCATTTCAACATAACTTTAAGAAAGTATGCTAAAACATCACTACATTCACTCGATACATTTTATCTTGTAAATCTATCAGCTCTAACATGTATTTTTCTATGAAATAGTGACAAAAAACATATGACTTGCTAGAAATCGCTTCTTATGACAAATGAGTGTGCACCGTTCCCCTCGGTTCAGGCTATGAAAAGAAAACTGTACTCGAATGTTCTTAAAAACCGTTCAGGGGTTTTCAAAATTTTGATTTACCGTGGAAAGCTGATATAATTACGGATACTCTGCGCCTTCTTTGATCAAAATCGGTTGAGTAATAAATAAGTTATGAATAAAAAACCTACCTGGCCACATTTAAAAAACAAACTTTTATCTTTAAGATGTCGACATTTTAATTAATCAGAAATGCCTGCGTACTGAACATGCACAAAAATATGCTTGAGCAATCCCTTACTTTCATGTTATGATAGAACAGGGGCAGTCTTAATTAGCACAATGCAAGTGGTAAAGTTATGTTATCAACATGTAAACAATACCTTGGTCTATAAGGTTGCTTCCAAGTATTCCCACCCATACAGTATGTGAGCAGCGGTTGACGATAGTCACTCGATGAGCGTTGAGACCACCAACAACGAAGAACAGAACTGACCAAATCATATCTGTAAATAATACCAGATTTTGATATCACCACTACAAATAATCAATCGGGCAAATGATGTTTTATTTTACCCGATCACATGTCTGTATATCCCTGTATCATAGGATTGCGAAAAAAGCAAAATTGTGCAAATGTAACGCCGAATTTACGGTGGAAACAAGTAACGAACCAAAATAAGTAAATCAAATTATGAAAATAATAAGCGCATACGGCTGCTACAATATTATAATGCAATCATATCCAGGTAAGTCTTTCCTTTCGAGATAAATCTAAAGAATGTAGACTTGGCTACCGTACTGACAAGAAGTATCTTCATAAAGATACTCAGCCGAAGTCAAACTTGTTAACTTGCATAGGATAAGCTACTACTAACGATGCTAACCACAGACAAAACATTTTATTCGTCCTCAATAGATTTATTTCAGTTCATTTTTACCCATTAATTGTCATCTTAGATTTGAACAATATTACTTACATTATTTGATTTTAATCAAAACGGAATTTGATTTGAATAGGAATTTATAATAAAACAAAGATTTAGAAGATACTGTACACTAATTCCACGGAGAATTTTGCAACTGAAAATTAGTCGAAAGTTCGTTTCAATCGTCTTATGCCCGGTTCAAGAAGAGAATATATAATGACTAGAACAGCTTAGAAGAGAAACCCAATCGAACGCAAAAGAAAAAAGTATCAAAAAGGCGATCTGTCATATTTAATTTCATATATTTATTGAAAAGCTGTTAAAATATCATTATTGTGTTTTTATATTTATTCTAATTTATATCTTTTTCCAACACTTCTTCCATCGCCCTCTACCTATAACGGAAGCTCTTCTGAAGTATCAATCGAACAGGCTATTAGTGTTAAAATGACCAATGAAAATTCTGCCTAAATTCATTTCTTTACTGTTAATTTAAGCGGAAGCCAAGGTGAAATTAGACGGCCTTCGGCCGAAAAAGTAGATTTTACACGAGAACAATGTAAACAAGAATTACAGAAGATAAGTGAACTGTGAAAACATCTCGTACGCTCCCAAGCACCGGATTATGAATGGTATTTATCTTCAACATGGTTAAAGTATTGGAATCATATATTACTTTTTGTTGCAACAAATTAGAAGAAAGTAATGAATTTTTAACTTGCACAAGACGTATTCGCATTAATTTACATATTTACCGTTATGCTTAAACGATGCCCTAATAAATCTATGAAAAATTGAGATATGCGCAATTAAAATTAAATTACAACTTATATATGTAATGAATAGAAATATGGATGTCATTCATTTAATTACAGTGTTTACTATTTTTTAAAGTTGTTTTTGTGTGAAGAAGAACAAAAAAAACAAACAAACAAACTTACTGCTACAGCCGTATTCCTTATGATTATGTCGATCTGGCGACTCTTTATATAACTTTATATAACAATAGATCTGTAGGATAACGGTAATTAGACGGTAATTAGTCAACAAAACATAGCCGGATATTAATTATGATAAGTAGCTGTAACCGGACACACGAGTAAGATATGCCTAATTTAGTTAATTGATGGGCATGTCATCACATAAGCGGTGATTGTACCAGGTACGTATATTAACATACGTACCTGATTGTACCGATAGGGAGTAAACAACATTATGGTTGTTTCGTCGAACTACCGGTCCGGCGAACTTAATTTATGAAGAGGTGCGAAAGTGGTTTCGTCGAACTGATGTTTTATAGTAATTAAAGGCAAAGTAGACGTGGTTCATATATATAGTGTTTTTATCATCAATATTTTGTTATAATTAAATTATGACGCAAATATCATTAATGAATATAATATATTGTAGAAGTATGTTTATTATACTTATTTTGATAATGATTTTTTCGTTATTTGATAAATTATTTTTGAGTCAAGTATAAATTACAAAATAAATCAATTGTTTATAATTGATGACAGATAAAGTTTGTTTGTCTTATCAGCCGATCAGTTAACACTAATCATATAACTTAATTTCAAGCTTTTTGTGTGTATATATGTCGATTTCATTCCGATTAAAAGCATTTTTTATTCAGCTTTAACTATTTGTGTATATAGTTTGACATAGATTACAAAAATAAACTTGTGTGAAATGTCATTTGTGTAAATGTTGACTCTTTAGGTTTTTTTTTCAGGTTGTACTTTTATATTATATGTTATTTTGGTTTTGGAGTGATATATGTGGATATATTACCTGTTAAAATTTTATATCACCCGAGCCGTTAGGCGAGGGTGATATTTTATCTTGGCAGGTAATATATCCACATATATCACTCCAAAACCAAAATAATAATTTTATTACCCTTCCCCTGCCGAGTTTAGACGATTTTTTAAAAAATCATTGCTGTTTCAAATGAAACGTCGAAATAAGATTCCCTTTAGGATACCTCTCCGTCACAACATGACGTCACATAAATACATGACGTTTTTTCCCGTACCTTACGAAAGTAAACAAGAGAAAAGGAGTAGACTATTGAACGCACTTTTTTGTAATTAATATCAAGCTTTCACAAGGTCATATTTGTTTTCGATACTGATGGTAATATGTATCATTACTCTACTTTGGTAAATATTGATCATTTGTCAGTTAAAATGTGCTTTTAAATTGGATTTTACACTGCGTAAAATCGAACCGTACGCGCATCACCTCAGCGCATGTTGTTTACAACGTTGGGTACCAAACGGGGAAATTTAGTGTGTATATTACCCGTCTGGCTCGGTTATATCAATTTCTTTCGGGTGATCAATATCCAATCAAAAAGGCGGAAAAAATCTGGAAGGGTAATAAATATATATATTTCTATGATGTTGTTTGTTCACTGAGATCTTTTGTATTGTGTTATGCTTTTATGTAAATATTACTATTATGCTAAAGAAAAGAACAAATAATAGGTTTAAATTTTCAATATCTTGTCATTAATTGCATGAAAATGTGTTGTAAACCACACATTAAGACCCGCGATAATTGACGTGCCCATTATACAATAGCTATTGTTCACAATATGAATTAAGTTCGCTGAAACCACTACCTGTTTTATTACATAAGATCAGTTCGACGAACTGGTAGTTCGACGAAACCATTCCCACCCAACATAATTGTTAACTTAATTGTTAGCTGTCAGGAAACGCATATTTGCAGTCATGAATTATGGGTTAATAAAGTTTAAGGCGTATATATTTTTACTATTTAAGGTAAACAAAATATTGCATTCGGTAGTGTGGTTTTTGATGTTACTTAGACTCACTCACTCAGGTTAAATTATGCTAGATACGCAGTTGACATTCATTCTTATTGCTTTACGTATTTGTTTAAGAATTGTGAAAATATTAAAGACACTGATTAAACAATTGTTTTATAGAATAATATCTTATACTAAATAAAAACATTTATATGACGTTTGAAACTTGATATTGTGTTGACTTATTAATATTGAGTTATTCAGATGAGGATAACTTTTTGCCTTATTTACAAACAATACATGACATGAATTTAGATATCAAAAATCTCCGAATCACATACGACAACGTACTCAATGAATACACAGATTTTTTAAGCCTTCGTGACACTAATAAACAGAAAAGAAGTATTTTAGGCTTAGGGAAAGTATTTCGATTCTTATTTGGTACCGCTGATGATGGCGATGTTCAATCAATTAAAAGAAATGTTAATAAATTAGCTTCGACACAAAAAAATAGAATTCATATTGTTGAGGATTCGTTATCTATACTTACTGTTTCTCAATCACACATTATGGAAAATCATAACAAAATAAATGAAATCATCCAAGCATTAAAATCAGTAGAAACTCAAATACATAAATGGAAAATTGCTTTTGAGAGAAGTCTTGAACGTTTTATAATAGCAACCACATTATGCTAATTTTAAACGATATTATTCGCAGTTTCCTTGGCAACTTTGCACATAAACGATTTTAAAGATAAATTAGATGTAAAAAAATTTAACGGTCGGGCAATTGTTCGAGAATTTTAAAGAACAATTTGGTGAAAACGCGTCCATAGAGTCAGAAGAGCCAAATCTGGATCAATATGTACCTTCAGACGACGATCTTAACTGCGAAATTATGGAAACGGAGCTTCATTCCGCTGTATTTATGCAAAAAAATAATAAATCCGCTGGTATCGATGGTCTTACGGCTGAAATATTTAAAGCAGCATACGATATTCTGTCGCCTCTTTTATTAAATCTTTATAATAGATTGTTTAAATACAGCGAATATCCGGAATCGTGGGGTAAAGGCATTATAACACCTATATTTAAAAAGGGCGATATAAACGACCCAAAGAATTAAAAATATATGTTATTATAATACAATGCACTTAAACAGTGAAATATGGCCGCCACGCCATTGCCACTTCTACACCACGTGCTTCGACGGGGAAATGAGAATAAATAGCAATTTAGCGATAAAACAAGAAAATTTTCTGGATATAATTCGGGCAACGTAACGTGCAAGATATTCTAAAGTAATTAATACCCGAATAAGACAATAAAAGAAACTTATAATTAACTTGAAGTAATTTAAAAACTGAGGAAAAAATTTCTGACCTTCCTCTCTGAGTTTCCAGAAATGTCTAGCCGTGAGTACACATAAACTTATGACGTCATATTATAAAGACCGATAAAGGTCAGTTAACAGTCGAAATTATAATTACGCCAAAATGAAAATCTCGTCCTAAGGTGACAGTTGTCAATAGACCAACAAATAAATGGACGAAACAATATGTTACCTGCAGAGTTATCTCTCACTGTGAAGGCAGTTTGAAATTCATACAATTTATATTTTGAATTGTTTCACAATTTGACATTCACACAGGGACAAGAAATGTTGGAACTAACACACATTTCTTTGGATATGCAAATAAATATGATTCATTGAGTGTTAGAATAGAATAATATAAATACATCAATATTGATGGACTTACAGCTCCCTAGAGGAAAAAATATGCAAACAGATGAAGACGGATGTGATTTATATCGATGAATAGCAGACATACGGAAAACCAAAGTGTTTATATCACGTGCAATTTATAGTAGTGTTTCTGAGTTGTAGTCTTGCTAGGGGAAACTGAATGTGTCCATTAAATGAATGTGTTCATTAATCATGACAAGTTAATATGAATTAATTATTGCTGATATGAACGTGCGGGCAATTTTTGTGTGATGGAATGCATTATTGTTACTAATCTATAATTGTATTTTATTCTGTACTGCTTGCGATGTTGGCGTTTCAATATCCTTAAGACATTTTATTAAACATCATGCAAAAAGACGAGATTAAAATCAAGAAGGCAAAGGCAACGTTTAAAGATTACCATGCATATGGCTCTTATAATTTTCCAAATAGAGTCTTTAAAGAAAGCCTAACACGGCAAAATTAAAAAAAAATGTTGCAGGCATGGTTTGATTTAGCCTGTTCATGGACGGTACTGTCGAGTGCAAACTGCCGTCCACGCCCCCTAGCAACGGCTAAAACAGAATTCACTTTTACGCATTACGAGTACATGGTAAAATTTTGGTCTCAAAATTGTATGAATATGACAGCACTTTATTCATGTTGAACTTAAGAAAAAATTCTTTTGTCACGAATACAAACATTCAAACCATTTTAAAGTGCGATGATGTAAGTAAGTAAGTTCTTCTCCAGTCATAAATGTGATCCCGAAAGACGTTTTTATTGAGGCAAAGCAATACACTTTTTCAGATATACACAAAAAGATCCTTTTGTAGACAAAGTGTGTTTGCTGAAGCGCTGGTGTTATGCAATACGTTTTATTGCTTAAAAAGATATAAGACTTTTACACCTTGAATGTTGTCGGTTTGTATGTAATACCATCACGTGCATTTTAATGCCCCATAAATTCTTTCATTTTTATTTCGCATTGTTTTTTTTAGCGCACCTGTCACAAAGTGACATGGTGTGCTTTTGTGATCGTTTTCGTCCGGCGTCCGTCGTCCGTCCGTAAACTTTTACTTTAAACGACATCTCCTCATAAACCGCTAAGTCAATTTCATTCAAACTTCACAGGAATGTTCCTTTGGTAGTCAACTTTAAAAATTGTTCAAAGAATTTAATTCTAAGCAGAACTTTTGTTGCCATGGCAACCGAAAGAAAATTTTTAAAATATCTTCTTTTAGAAAACCAAAAGAGCTAGAGCTTAAATATTTGGCATGAAACATCATCTAGTCAGTGTCTACCAAGTTTGTTCAAATAAATGCCCTGGGGCTGGTGGGAGTCATTGATTTTCCTTATTTGTCTTTACTAAAAACTTAAAAATCTTCTTTTAAAAAGCCCAAATAGCTTAAGCTTAGATATTAAGCATGAAACATCTTATAGTGGGTTTCTACCAAGTTTGTTCAAATAAAAGCCCTGGGTTCAAAATTGGCCCCGCCCCAGGGGTCGTTGCTTTTCCCTTTATGTATATAGTAAAAACTTAAAAAAACCTTCTTTAAAAAACACAAATAG